AATGGTTTCTAATTTCCAGCCCTCCTATTTCTTTCTCCAGGCCCCAGGAGTTTTTTGGGACTGACCTAAACTGTGCGCATGATTTCTATTTCTTTCTTATCTATTCAGTTAGTGACTTACTTTCCTCTTCTGTATGTTATAGTAATAGTATCCTACTTCAGATCTTCATTGTGAAAATTAAATAAGATTTACTGAAAAGCATATAGGTCTGATTCCGGCACAAGTGATTAATAAATGTCAGCTATTCATGTGAAGTAAAACAGAAAATTCTTGGTGTATAACAAGGTTTGAGATCCAGAGAAGATCAAAGATAACTAGGCATTCTGAAGTCAATAAAATTGCTCCAAATGAAGTCATGTTGCTAGACTATTTCCAATTTTACCCCCAATTTATGGGAAGATCCTACATAGTCTCAGTGTTACGGTTTATAGCTAGGTGCCCCCACAAGGCTTGTGGACTCATGGGTTGGGCTTTTTGAAGGTGATTGGCTCTGGGGGCTTACAGCTGACCTGCTCTTGGGAGGTGAGATTAATCAGAAGAGGCATGTTACTCTGGGCATGATCTGGAAGGGTCTGTCTACTTTCCCGGCTCCTGCTTGACCTCTCTCTCTGCATCTTGCTTCCTATGCCATGAGCAGTTCTTCTCTGCCTGCTGCCCTGCCTTAGAGCCAGCCAACTGAAACCTCCACAAACTGTGAGCCAATACAAACCTCTCCTTTAACTTGCAGGTGTTGGGTATTTTGTCCCAGCAACGAGAAAAGTAACTAAGATACCCAGAATCCAAATTCCTGCTGTCTGTGGGTAGGGAAGTACCAGACAGAGCTCTGGCCTGGACACCTTCCTTTGGAACTCCGGAACAAAGGAGAGCTTATACCTGAGTCATCTTTTCTTTCTACTCTCCTGTAGCACCCTTTCAAATACTTACAGTGAGAGTGTTCTGTGTTGGGAAAAACAGGGATAAGAGGATGAAGAAGATAAGAGGAAGGAGTCTGAGCCTGCCCTAAACTTGAATAACAATGACCTAAGAATGTGGATCCCTTTGTCTTATCTTTTTGCATGTCATCCTGTACTGGTCAACTGAAATGAATGAGCAGTTAATTTCTTTTTTCCTTCCATTCTATTTGGAATCTACCTCTATTTCAAAGATACAAATGTTCTGGATCAGAGAGCTCTTTGGGGTTCTGATGACAGGTATAATTCCTCTTACTAAATGAAAATACAAACATGCACATAAACACTCACTTTTATAGACAACCATAGGAGTGCACAGACCTCCATGTGGCTCCTAGGAGAACCCCACTGTATCACCTCCTGCATTTTATGCTCAGCAGCTCTTCTACTGGCATCCCATGACTAGGCTGGAACTCTGCAATACAGTGCCAAGGACCCCAGCCCTGGGAGTGCTTTCAGTATTTCCTAGGCATGACCTCTCCCACCACACACCCACAAGCACATTCAGCTCTTAGGGTTCAGGCTCAACTTGCTGGTTTAAGCTTTATTTACATTCAGAGAGTGGCTTCAGTTACCTTCTAGGACCTAAGAACGTGAAGTTAAGGTCTATGTGGTGGGATATTTTTAATCAGATCTCAGAGAAGCTTTTGATTGAGATTTACAGTTAAATGATGCTGATCTCAGTGAAGGCCTTAGGGGGCCAAGGAGTAGGTCTGGATTCCTTTCCACTTACAGCTCTTACCCATCTTACCTGTTTTTTCAGTTCTTCTCATTTCATGCATGTTTTTAAAAATGTACTTGATTGGTTAACACTTCCATGAGCTTCCCAGAAGCTCTTAGAATATGTATCTTCAGAGGTCTGCACTTGGAAGCTTATTAATTAAATTCTGAGAAGTCAAATGTCTTATTACAGAATAGGTGCTACTGAGAAGCCTCTAGAACTAACCCTGGAGGGCAGTGCATGTTAGTTTCATCAATTATATTCATTGCTTTGCCTCCTGGGGGTCTAATCTTTCTAATAGAAAAACAAAACAGAAATTTAACAAAGTTAATTACAGAATAAATCCTTTGTATTTATATTTATTTATAACTATGGCTCGACAGACTTTTTTAAAAAATGATTTAAATATGTTACTTTGCTTTCAATACCAATGTTTTACCCTAAAGAATGATGACCAGTAGTCTAATTTAAATATGTGCTTTGATTCTAAATATTGATAACATGGGCCCCTGTCTTTATATGTAATTTGCTGTTTCGCCTCAAGACAACCTCTTTTCTTGCTATGTTTCATTTTCTACCTTTAAAATGGGGCTGTTGATATCTGTGCCACACCACCACCCAGAAATTTAAGGAAATTGATATTAGAACAGGTGTAATGTTTTGTAACATCTGAGGTTTTGCTACTAGCAGGATGTATACTTTGCATCCCCCAAAACTCTCACACCTCCTCCCCTCTTCATTCCCACTGACCCCAGCACAAGCCAGGCCTTCTTTAACTCCCACTAGGAAAATTGCAATAGCCTCTTGTTTATGAAGCTCAAATTTCCTGCTTTTAATTTATTTTAAAAAAACCACTGTCAGATAGATCTGGTCATGATACCCTTCTGTTCAGAACCTTTACCTGGATCCCCCTTGCTGACTGGTTTTTAAGGCCCCAACGATTTGGCCCCAAAATACCTTTCCACTTAACCTCTAGGATGCCCCAATTTTCAGCATAATTCAGACTGCATCACTATCTCTCCTAAAATACTCCCCTGCTTATTACTGCACTTAGAATAAAATCTCACCCTGCTTTGGCTCCCAATGTCTGGAACGCTCTGTCAGCTAGCTTCTTGTCATCTTCTCCCCTCTGTCATTTCATTCCAGCCCCACTAATGTCTTCATGTTCTTCGAACATTCCATTCTTTGCTCCCACATTAAAGCTTTGAACTAGCTTTTTCCTTTGCCTTTAATGCTCTTCCTCCTGTTTCTCACCAGGTAGTTTTTTTCTGGCCATTCTGCTGCTGGCTTAACCACCATCTCCATAGGTAGTGTGTCTTGACCTTCCTGTCTGACATAAGTCACTTTATCAAATAACCCCACTGTAATTCTCTAACACGCATTTCTGTCTGGTGTTTTCACGTTTACTTGTGTAGTACTGTTGTATATTTGCTGGTGTTTGTTTTATTGTCTTTCTCTCAACAGAATGTATCTTCTTGGAGGACAGGAATTCTGCATGTTTTCAGCATTTTAATTCTGGTCCCTAGAAAAATGCGTGATATATTTTAGACACTTAAGCAACCAACACTTACGGAAATAAATAAATAATGGAAAACACTACCTATATGTGATATAGATAGATAGTAAAATGTTTGTCAATATGAAGAAAAATAGTATCCATCATCTCACGTAGCTGCCT